GGGGGGGGAGAGGGAGTTGAGTGAGCGGCCATGGGGCTGTTTCTTTTGTTGTCGTGTTGTCCCAAACCACAACATTAATGGCGAGCCAGCCAGGAGAGAGACCAGGAACCATGACAGACAGTTTAATAAGAGAAGGGGGAAAAAACAAATCCCCCCCCCAAAAACAAACAGAAAAGTGATGCAAAAACAATTGCTCACCACCTCCCACCAGCAGATCTATGTCCAGCCAGTCTCTGAGCAAGTTACTTTGGAAAAGATCCTCCCCAGTTGTATTGCTCAGCTGTGTCCCCATCCCAACTCTAGCCCATTCACTGGGAGGGGGGGAAGGAGCAGGCACAGTGCGAGAAAGAGAAAAGGTCTTGATGCTGTGCAAGCACTGTTCAGCAATAGCTAAAACATCAGTGTGATATCAACACTGTTAAAAATCCAAAGCACCATACAGGCTGCTATGAAAAAAGTAAAACTATCTGAGCCAGACCTAGTACACAAGGTCTGGCATTTAATATAATGGAATGATGACATTTAATACGGGAACAGTATAATACTTGAGAATCTTAATTTACATTTTTATTATTTCTTAAAATAAACTATTATCTCTAGATGTCTTTCTGGTCAAACTCAAGCAGGAAGTAGACAGACAGTGGAAGCAAGGATGGGTAACCTGTGAGGAATACAAAAACATTGTCCAAGCTGAATGAGGTGGGTACCCTGGTGACAGAGGATACAGACAAAGTGGAATTACTGAATACCTTCTTTGCTTCAGTCTTCACTGCTAAGGGTAGCCCTCAGGAATCCCAGACCCTGGAGGTAAGAGAGAAAGTCTAGAGAAAGGAAGACACTCCTTTGGTCAAGAAGGATCGGATTAGAGATAACTTAGGCAAACTGGACACCCACAAATCCATGAGCCCCAATAGGATGCACCCACGAGTGTTGAGGGAGCTGGCAGATGTTATGGCTGGGCCACTCTCCGTCATCTTTGAAAGGTCATGGACAACAGGAGAAGTGCCTGAGGACTGGAGGAAGGCCAGTGTCACTCCATTCTTCAAAAAGGGCAAGGATGACCCAGGAAACTACAGGCCAGTCAGCCTCACCTCCATTCCTGGAAAGGTGATGGAACAGCTCATAGATGTAATCTCTAAGCATGTGGAGAAAAAGGTTATCAGGAGTAGTCAGCATGGATTCACCAAGGGAAAATCATGCTTGACTAATTTGATAGCCTTCTATGATGGTATGACTGGATGGATGAGGGAAGAGCAGTGGACATTGTCTACCTCAACTTCAGCAAGGCTCTTAACACTATCTCCCATAACATCCTCATTAGGAAATTCAGGAAGTCTGGGTTAAATGAATGGACAGTGAAGTGGATTGAGAACTAGCTGAATGGCAGAGCTCAGAGGATTGTGGTCAGAGGCACAGTCTCCAGTTGGAGGCCTGTAGTTAGCAGTGTTTCCTAGGGGTCAGTACTGGGTCCAATCTTGTTCAACATATTCATCAATGACCTGAATGAAAGGACAGAGTGTAGCCTCAGTAAGTTTGCTGAAGATATCAAACTGGGAGGAGTAGCTGATACACCAGAAGGCTGTGCTGCAGTTCAGCAAGACCTGGACAGGCTAGAGAGTTGGGCAGAGAGAAACCTCATGAAGATCAATAAAGGCAAATGTAGGGTCCTGCACCTAGGGAGAAAAAACCCCATGCACCAGTACAGATTAGGGGTTGACCTGCTGGAAAGCAGCTCTGTGGAAAAGGACACAGGAGTCCTGATGAACACGTTAACCTCTGTCCAGATGAGGAAGGGAGTGATAGAGTGGCTTTGGTGGGCATCCAGCCAGGGTCAACCCACCACATTCCCAGAAGATCCTCATAGACAAACAGTTGATGTATATGGCTCAAACCTGGACAATGGGTTGGATAAACAGATGGTGACGTGGATTGACAGTGGCATGAAGTCTAGTTGGAGGCCAGGAACTAGTGGTGTACCCCACAGTTTAATACTGGGTCAAATCCTCTTTAATGTCTTCATTAACGAGCTGGATGATGGGGGGGTAAGTGTACTCTCAGCAAGCTTGCTGATGACTCAGAAATCAGAGGAGTAGCCAATATGCCAAAGGGTTGTGGTGCCATCCAGAGGGAACTCGACAGGCTGCAGAAATGGACTGACAGAAACCTCATGAAGTTCAAGGGGAAGTGGTAAAAAGTCCTGCACCTGGGAAGGAACAACCCCAGGCACCAATAAAGGATGGGGACCACCCACCTGGAAAGCAGCTTGGGCAAAAAAAGGACCTGGGGGTCCTGGTGGACACCAGGTTGAACATGAGCTAGCATGTGCCCTTGTAGCAAAGAAGGCTAAATGGTATAATCCTGGGCTGCATTAGGGTGAGTGTTGCCAACAGATCGAGTGAGGTGATCCTTCCCCTCTACTGAGCACTGGTGAGGCCACACCTGGAGTCCTGTGTCCATTCTGGGCTACTCAGTACAAGAGAGACATAGACATACTGGAGGGAGTCCAATGAGGGGCCACAAAAATGATGAAAGGACTGGAGCATGTGTCATATGAGGAAAGGCTGAGATTTGGGATGGTTTAGCTTGGGGAAGGGAAGGCCTGGTGGGGGGGATCTCATCAGTGTATATAAATACCTGAAGGGAGGATGCAAAGAAGATGGAGCCAGGCTCTTGTCAGCGGTGCCCAGTGGCAGGACCAGAGGCAACTGGCACAAATTGAAATACAGGAGGCTCTTGTCTGATCATAAGGAAAGACATTTTTACTGTGAGGGTGACTGAGCACTGGAGCAGGTTGCCCAGGGAGGCTGTGGAGTCTCCCTCCTTGGAAATGTCCAAAAGCTGTCTGGACATGGTGCCAGGCAACTGGCTCTAGGTGGCCCTGCTTGAGCAGAGGTGTTGAACCAGATGACCTCCAGAGGTTCCTTCCAACCTCAACCAATCTCTGACTGTGATAAAACTTCATCCAGGTATCGTGGTTTAAGGCCAGCCAGCAACTAAGCACCACATGGCCCAGAGGGATGGGAAGGAGAAAAATAAAGCTTAATGTAAAATTAAGTTAAAGTCTTATTTCATCACAAGACTAATATCAGAATATCTATATTCTTTAATACTGTAAGAGCATGGTAACAATTACAAACATTTACAAAAAATTAATGCATTTAATAAACTAGCACATGTGCTAAAGGCTGCTTGTCCAATTCACATGCTCACCACACCTGTCTACTGCAGGGGCATAAGCATGGGCGCTACCATGCAGTGAATGAAACAGATCAAGGATTGTTCAGATTGTCTTCAGACTGTTATTCTGCACCAACTGTAACTAAGGAGCCAATTCAAGTGATTTAATAGTAACAGAATCACAGAATTGTTCTGGTTGGAAAAGACCTTTAAGATGATCAAGTCCAACCATAACCTAACTCTACCAACCATTAACCTAACTCCAGAGCTTAAACCATGTTCCTAAGCAACACATCTATACATATACACCTCCAGGGTTGGTGATTCAACAGCCTCCCTGGGCAGCCTATTCCAGTGTTTTATTACCCTTTCAGTAAAGAAGTATCTTCTAATATCTAATCTAAACCTCCCCTGGTGCAACTTTAACCTATTTCCTCTTATCCTATCAGTTATTACTTGGGAGAAGAGACAAACCTCCAGCTCACTACAACCTCCTTTCAGGTTGTAACAGCTTTGTTTAGAAGATAATATTAGCTTTCAAAATGCCTATGTATAATAATCTAGGGACACAATATTACATAATTTGGGTTGTTTCTCTTGTTCAATAGCAGGAGTATTTGTGCTGCTTTTGAATGCATTTTAGTCAAACGTAGGTTTGCTTAACAGAAAGCTATGACACTAGGAATTAAGAATATTTTTACTACTTAGAGATAAAAATACAATTGCTCATCAGTCAGGTTACCTGTTCTGCGTTTTGATGACCAGGTGAACAGTGAGTCCATCGTGAATCCCATGCTGAATCAAAGTATCTTGATCTTTTAATATTTTTCCAGCAAATATCAAAACAAGCTGATCAGTGTGGGACTTGAAATGCTTAGAGATTTCTTCCTTGAACTAAACAGAAGTTGATATTAGTTATGTAATTGAATACTGAACTGTTAATTTTTTTATAAATTAAGAAAGAATAATTTTGCTCACATTTATTATATTAATCCACTTGCACAATATGTTTTGCTTTATACAATGTAGGAACACTTCACTAAGTTATCTCAACTTTCTTTTTATCCAAAGGAAGATGGGAAATCAAGTCATTATTTTTCTGTACAATTGAAGTGTTTCATATCTAGAACACTAACTATATAGCTGGCAATAACAAAAATTGGCTTCCATTTAAAGACTATACTGTCATTTCAGTCAGGCATGTACCCATGATGCAATAAATACACATCATTGAAACCATCCACTACTGACGTGTTGAGGATGCAACAACATGCTATGTTGAGTCCACATTTGTGCAGGCACTGAAAGGAACAATATCCTTTCTTCTTGGACTTATTACTGCTACCTTTTACATGTCAAAACTAGTAATCCTTTCGATACAATCAAAAATTACTTCTTAGGTGGCTCTGCTCTCTTATCCAACTCATGACAGTTACATTAAATGTGCTTCCAGCCCAGGACATGGTGAACATATTTTAGCCGACTGTGAAATCATAACTTAATTAAAACAACCGAACCTGTGTCCTGGTTTGAGCCAAGATGAAGCCACTTTTCCTTTTACTGATTTTTTTTTTCCTTCAGCTGATAACAGCTGGAATGTTTTTGTAACTGCTGGGACTCCAAGGTCACATCTTTGCCCTGCCAGCTCAGACACTATGGGGAGATCTATGACCCCCCCCCCCCCGTCGGAGGCTGAATTAGACAGACAGCAAAATTGGCCAGAGATATTCCATTCCATATACCTACGTAAGCTCAGAGGAAGGTCAGAGATCACAGAAGACAACTTCCTTCCTGCTTCTCCTTCCCTTCTCTTCCATCCATGGCCAGCATCCATGAGGGTCAGGAACACACGAGCCTAGGGATCAACAGCGATGGATAGACGGAGTCCTCCGTGAATGACAGCCATGAACAGAAGAGAAGGGGAGAAGAAAAAGGAAGGGGCTTGACTTCCGTGATCCCTGACTTTATACATATTTATGTGCATATATATATATATGGAATATCTCTGGCCAAATTTGCTGTCTGTCTAGTCCACTCCTCCCTATGGGAGGTTGCAGATACGACTCTTCTGCTCCTTTAGCATCTGAGGCTGCAGAGCAAAGGGTCCTTGATGTCTCGGCCATAACATAAACATTCCAGCATTATCAGTCCACTAGCCAGAAAACTTGCTGCTAGTTAAAAAAAAAACAAAACCAAAAAACTCAGTAAAAAGAAAATTGGCTTCATCCTGGCTCAAACCAGGACAAACGTAAAACGGCAAATATAAGAAAACCAAATAAATGTATTCAACATGACTATTCAGTAGACTAAATGTTTCTGAATGGATCTTAGGCAGTTAGGAAGTCCTCCAGAAGTTCACAATATTTAACATTTTCCAAGTAATATGGTCAACTTGATTTAAAAAATAATCCTATTTCAAACATCTTAGTGAACTCTCATACAGGAACCCCAAATATTAATCTTGCAATGACATTATTAAATAATTACATTTTATAAGAGGTAGGGCTAAAAAATTAAACCCCCACTGTATCATACTCTGAAGGAGAGTCCCTAATTGAAAAGGTGCCCAAAAAATAAGCTTGATACACAACAGAGGTATGAAATCTCTGTGTCTGGGTAGCAGGTAGCATTTGGTCAGTTAGAAGTCTGCTCACACAGAATTAGTTCCAGTTCTCAAAGAAACAACCTTTATACTCATAATATTTAGACTTGCAAGCATTCTAGGAAGCCATTTAATCCATTCCTGCCTGAAGTGGATTACTTACCTATATTATTCAGACACTGTGGTGAGTTGACCTTGGCTAGCCACCAGGTACCCACCAGGTTCCCACTAAGCCGCTTTATCAATCATCCTCATCAACTGGACAGGAAAAAAAGGAAAATATGACAAAGGGCTCACGGATCAAGATAAGGACATGGAAATCACTCAACAATTACAATCAAAGGCAAAACAGATTCAACTTGGGCTATTTAATTTATTGCCAATTACATCAGAGTAGGATAATGAGAAATAAGAATATTAAACCACCATCACCACGACCCCCTCTCCCTTCATCCTGGGCTCAACCTCACTCCTGAATTCACTACCTCCTCCCCCCAAGTGGCACAGGGGGAGAAGGAATGTTGGTTGCAGTCAGTTCATCACATGTTGTCTGCTGCTCCTTCCTCCTCACACTCTTCTGCTCTAGTGTGGGGTCCCTCCCATAGGAGACAGCCCTCCATTAACTTTTCCAACACAGGTCCTTCCCATGGGTTGTAGTTCTTCACAAAATGCTCCAGAACGGGTCCAATCCATGGAGTGCAGTCCTTCAGGAACAGACTGCTCCAATATGGATCCCCTGCAGGGCCACAGGTCCTGCCAGAAAACCTGCTCCAACTCCATGGGGTCACAGCTTCCTTCAGGTCACATCCACCTGTTCTGACATGGGGTCCTCCATGGGCCACAGGGTGGATAACTGCTCCACCATTAACCTCCATGGGCTGCAGGGGGACAATCTGCTTCACCATGGTCTTCCTCACAGGCTGCAGGGGAATCTCTGCTCCGGCACCTAGAACACCTCAGTGTCTGCAGAATTGTTTCTCTCACATATTCTCACTCCTCTCTTCCAGTTGCTGTTGCACAGCAGTTTTTCCCCCTTCTTAAATGTTATCACAGAAGCACTACCACCATCAACTTTAGCCAGTGGTGGGTTTGTCTTGCAGCCAGCTGGCATTGGATCTATCAGACACAGAGGAAGCTTCTGGCATCTTCTCACAGAAGCACCTGCAGCCCCCCCTCTCCCTGCTACCAAAACCTTATCATGCAAACCCAGTACAGGCATTGTTTATCCATCCTGTTCTCAGAAGTCCCCAGTGATAGAGACTCCATATATTTCTTCTTAGAAATCTATTTCAGTGCTTCACTATCCTGTTCTTCATTGTCCTGTCCACTATGGACAGGGAAACAGATTGCTATTCTCCTCAGAATAAAGGGGTGCAGTACAGCTAATCTTTCCTTGAGGATTGTGTTTTCTAATCTAACCATTCCCACCACTCTCTGGATTTTCAAATCCAACCATATCTTTCTGTAAGCATGTGGCTCAAAACTGGCTACAATATTCCATATGAATACCCATACTTAGAACAAAAGGATATATTCCACATCTTGCAAGCTATATTCCAATTTACAAGTTGGAAAATATCAGTTTAACAGTGTTGTCTCATTTAACAGCTATAACCTCTAGACTCTTTTCTGCAGAGGAATTATGCAGGCAGTTGCTTCCCACTCTGCATTTTTCTAGTTAATTATTCTTAATACTTTCATAGCTTAACCCTAGCCAGCAGCTAAACCCCACACAGACACTCGCTCACTCCCCCCTGGTGGGATGGGGAAGAAGGGTAAAAGTGAGAAAACTCATGGGTTGATGTGCTGGTTTGAGCCAGGATGAAGCCACTTTTCCTTTTACTAATTTTTTTTTTCCTTCAGTAAGCTTTCTTTTAACTAGTAGCAAAGTGTTCCAGCTTGGAATGATACCAAATGGTGGAATGTTTTTCTAACTCCTGGGACTCCAAGGTCACACCTTCACTCTGCCAGTTCAGACACTACAGGGAAAGCTATGACCTCCCACGTAGGAGGCTGAATTAGACAGACAGCAAAACTGGCCAGAGATATTCCATTCCATATATCTATGTAAGCTCAGAGGAAGGTCAGAAATCACAGAAGACAACTTCCTTCCTGCTTCTTCTCCCCTTCTCTTCCATCCATGGCCGGCATTCAGGGAGAATTCCATCCATCATTGTTGACCTCTAGGCTCGAGCTCTCCTGACCCTCATAACTCTGCTTTCTCCAGCAGCTCCGGGACTTTTCAAGACTGTTCGCGGCTAAGGAGATGCTGTGGGAGTTGCTGGGCATGGGGGAAGGTGAGAGGCTTTTGCACATACCTGAACACCTTTGTATATAATTGTATATATTTTCTTTTATCATTAGTATTTAATTAAATCTGTGTAGCTTAGTTTTCAATCCAGCAAAGTTTCTCTCTCATTCTCTCTCTCCTAACAGACAAAAACAGGCCTGTTACTCAAGGACAATTCAAAGCAAAACAAAGGATGTGATACAAGGCAGGAAGAATGAGCAACAAGTTATGAATCGCCCCTAATGGTTACTGCCCTAACTTGAGACTCATGGATGCTAACTGGCTCTGAATATTAGTACGTTCGTAAAGAGAATGTAAAAGCATGCATTGCGGCGGTGACACTGACTGGATAGAGGGTCACTGGGGTATAAAAAGCGATGGGTTTTGCGGGTGAGAGTGGCCTGCTCCGGCTCTTCTTGCATGGTGTGAGAAACGTTTGTCATGCCAATGAACAGGCCCAAACAGATCCTTCAACGAAGCACAGTTTATTTACATTCTTGCAAGAATGGGTGACCTAAACAAGTAGGCACACCCATAGTCAGGTGAATAACGGTTTATATTCCCTATTTGCGATGCAAAGTTCCCTCCCCTGTTTCCCCACTGGCTGGGTACTCCAGGGTTTACAGCCCATCCGACGATTCAAATCATCCTATAAGTTTCCTGCCCCTGTTTACACATTCCATTCTAGCAGTTTACTTTTTACCTTTTAAGGTAAACTTTTTACCTTTCTTGCCCCCTTGGCTGTCTTCCCAATTAACAAATCTATTGGTGTCATCCTGCCCTGAGGAGCAATATAGAAGTGGCTTTGTTGGGTCTTATCTTGGGCCACAAATCCTGCTCCATGCTGGGATCCCCAGATGGAGCCCAATTCTCTCCCTCAGTTTCTCGGGCCATAAACCCCTCCTGGTGTCCTTGGAATGTGCAGGTATCTCAGCTCAGACACTGTGGGGAGATCTGTGACCCCCCCGTAGGAGGCTGAGTTAGATGGACAGCAAAATTGGC